ATGATTTTGTCCCCACTAATGAAACAAGCTCTGGTAAATTTGCAGAGTCAACATAAAAATTTGAAATCACAGAATTTCATTTTATAAAACACATTAAGTCCTTCGGCTTATATTGGCACCGTAATCATGCTGTTGTCAACATAATTCTTTGTTAAACAGTAGTGTGTTGAAGATAAGTTACTGGATCAGTTTGACAGTGTTTGACATTGCTTAGTATTTTTCTGAACACGTTTTTTGCACAGTTGTAGAGGGTTAATGGATGATGTCATTATGTACTAAGCTGCATAAAGGTACAGCCCTTTTGTCTGCTTTTTGTTGTGATAGATGTATAGGCATTAATCCAATTTATCCCAAAAATCTAATGTTAAAATGCACCAGTCCTTTTCTCTGTAGAATTGGATAAATATTTAATTTGCTAAAAAATCTATTTTAATCACACATGATTTGGTTACTCCAGGGTTGGTGAGACAGCTTCTCTCCATTTTCAGGAGTGTCAAGTATGATTTGAGTAGCATTGTCTCTTCAGTCAATCTGGGTCTTCAGGTCCTATTGCAATAACATTAATACAGTCATTACTATGCATGCAAGTAAGCCTGTATGTATACTGATAAGAACTGAGGTTGCGTCCCAGGAGAATATAACACCAGGAAGAGTATAATGTAATCGTGTTCTAAAAAGGTTGTCATGCTACCTAGTGTACTGTTAAGTTAGTTGATGAAAACTTCCTCAATGAGTAAAAACAAGACTAAAATATCACGAAGAGACCATCTGAAACTGATCTAATCAGAAGTAGCAAAATGTTTATCGTAGCTGGATATGTCTGGATAATGTTGATTAACTACCTTCAAGCCCGTAAACCATGTATCCACCTGACGGGTAGAAACCAAGTGGTTCTGTCTGTAAAGACTGTCTGTTAACTCTTGTGCTGTTGTGTCTGTGCTAAGCATCATTACTTTAATATGGTATACCATGTTATTTTGAAAAGCTGTCAATAACAGTGGATGTTTGGTAAAACTGGCAGCGTGCCCCTACTCTCGGCGAATTTCATCAGCAAGATTAAAAAATCACCAGTTGGTTTACACTCGTCTGACAGTTGTTTACGATTCTGGGAGAGCACACTTGAATTTTTTGTTTAATTCTGTGTTCTGGTGTTTTATGTGAATCAGGATGCATTATATGCAAGACTTTCGTATGAGACTAATTTTTTATTTTTTTATTTAATGATGAATAAAGTTCATATAAAGCCATTTTAGGATTAGTGCAGTGTTTCATATTACAAATTTACAACAGATAGATCTGTGTCAAAATTCATTTAGGCCTAGCGCTTGTCACGTTGAGAGGTGCATAGAAAAAATAATTGTGTGTAATTTATCACGGGTAAGGGCGGGTAACAGGCTGAATGTTAACGGGCCCGGGCGGATGCAGATTTAACTTTGAAATAATCACGGGTGCACGGGCGGGTGTGGTGCTGTACTGTGCGGGTGCGGGTCTCCAAAAGTGGACCCGTGCAGGACTCTGATCTGTGTCCTTAAAGACCGTATGTTCAAACCTATTGCCATGCGATAACAGCTTTACAGGGCTTTCTTTCAGGAATCAAAGGACAGAGGCAGACCAGTCTCTGTGTGTACACAGACAATGAAGAGAAATTTTCAAAGAAATGTGAAAATGATGTATTAGACTATATGATGTATTAGACTATATGACTAAACCTGTTGGTTTCATTGAGTGCAATTACTGTAGATTTAATCAATTAAATCTAAGGTACGTTTAGTTGACCTAAATATCCTAAAATTTTCATTAACTAAAAATAAGAAACAGATGACTAAAATAAACTAAAACTAGTTTGCGTTTTTGTCAAAAGACTAAGACTAAATTAAAAAATGCTGCCAAAATTAACACCGTTGCCTCCAGAAGCACCAGTGCAGCTCTGCAGTATTTTGATATGGAACCATGGCAAAGTTTTTGCAGGACCATAATAGTCAAGTTATAAAGGGTATTTTAAATTGCTTAATAAAAATATCCAAGATTATGAAGTCCCGATATTCTGATTACACATAGTGCTAAAAGAAAAGTTATCTAAAAGAAAGTTATCAGCGTATCGGCATCAACAGGTAAAGGATTCTGTATTGAGGAAGAGAACAGAGATAATTGGAGTTTTTGTATTGCTCAGTATTTTTTGGTGACAACTGAACAAAATTTGACTGCAATATGAAACTGTCTTGTGTTTCCCCTTTTGTAGTAGGAATTTTAAATTGTTTTGTTTTTACAATAAATGCAATAAAGCATGTAAAAGCTCAAAGTAAGTATTTGGATATGGTAAATATTCAGAAAAGACAATTGGGAATTTATGGGGCAGGTTTTGACTTTGAGGTAAAATCACTGATTTGCCGAGTACATAAATAAAAAAAAATTCTTAAAATAGTAACAGAGATGTGTTTTCTAATGCCAAAATCAAAACAGACTAGTTACCAAATGTTTCAAAGCATATCATTTTATAAAGCAAAACTATGAGTTAAACATTTACTTAGAATAAATTAAAGCCAAGTAACTTGTCATTATGTACCATTAATGTCTGTAGTAGGAGAGGAAGGTTAGTAGTTAGTAGTTACTCAAATTCTCATTAACTTTGAACAATTGAATTCTGAGACATAAATGATTAAATAAGCTGGCATTCTGTATTAACTTTGCACATCATGGAGACCTAGTGTAGCCTGAATATTTTCTCTTCATATTCGTATTGAAATCATGGTTTGTTTTATGTTTTTGATGTGGAAAATGGAATAGCTTCTGAATGAATAGTTATTTGACATTTATAGCAGAAAATGCATTGGTTTCCAGTTTCTGTGATTAGCTGTACTCTTGTGTTAATTCTGTTTTGTGGATTTCAGACATTCTGCTGTAATGCTGGTACAGTTTAACAGCATTTTGCTATCTTGAGCTTTATTAAACCACATTGGGTATTTCAAGATGTAGCTTGTCAGTTTCGAGGGAAAATAATAAAATTATTGTATTATTTTGTATTAAATATAAAATTTCTTTTTAATTATGCTTGTTTATAATGTTATTTACAATTATACACAATTGAAAATTTCGTGCCTGCACTTAGGATTTTATCTGCCATTGAAATCAGTTGTTTGGCTTTGTCTTGGTTACCCCTTTTTGGTTTTAATGATTTTTTTTAAATGTAACTTTTTTGTCAGTCAAAGCAACTGTAGAGTTTTCTAGAAAGACTTCTTGGCATTCAGCTTCCTGGTTGGCTGTAACTCTCTCGCCCAGCCTGTGTCTGCTGCCGCTAGCAGAAAGGAGGGCTTCAGGTTCGCTTCTGAAGTGGCTTGAGCTGAGGGATGAGGTGCCTCCACCCTGGTCAACCGTTTTTGTATTTGTGGGGTGGGGGGGGGGGCTGCTACATGTATTTTTCTATGGCTTTCTGGTTTGTGTGTGTGTTTAGTTCCAAGCTTTCAGCTTTTATTCCTCTGCTGATTCATATTTTTCTTTATCTCTCTGTATATTTGCTTATGAAGTCAACTGCTGTTTGTTTAAATGTATGCAGTTTAAACACATTTATCTGCACCATAAATAATGTAAAATATCTAATACTCCTATATAAAAAATGTGTTTTTTAATTAAGCAAATGGGCAGTGTTGAGGAGTTCTGGGGACAGAAATGGGCTTGGATGATATATAATTGTAGATGAAGTAATACTGCTCTAAAGAATATTACATGTAAAAAATAAAAATGGCCAGAGCTGCTTGACAACATCTTTTGTGTGTTAAGTAAACACCCTCTATCTGTCCTAGGTTGATTTAGTGAATTAATGAGGCCATTAATAGTTTTTTATATGTCTATATAAATGAACCTGTTACATACTGTTTGGGAAATTGATTTACAGTATTTTCCTTGACTATTCAAAGTTATTTATTTATTTATTTATTTTGTATTATGAAATGGGTGTGAAAGGTAATTAATCTTCCAGACAACAATGCAGTGCTTTACAGTGCCAGTGAGGGAATTTCCTCTGTTTGTGTGTGTGTCCGCATGTGAGTGTACAGGCATTTGCATGTGCAAATAAAAACAAGATTAATTGCAAAATAATTCAAATTAAATAATTGCAATGATTTGAAGTAGAATTAATTAATTTTAAACAATTAAATGTTGTAAGTAGGATATAAGATGATAAAGAAGACAATATCTATCTATCCATCCATACAACTGTTAACCACTTATCCAACAGAGGGTTGGATTTGGGGGTGGGATCTATGAGCCTATCCCACAAGTATAATATAAGCCAATTAGAGTGACCACACAGATGCCGTAATTATGTACTGTACTAATACTAAAATAATGTCAGACGTGTTCAGATAGTTTTATGTTTACATTGCAAATAATCCCATATCAGGCTCAAAGCAGGTGATTAGAATTTAAATTAAATAAACATCCTGCTTCATGTTCCATATGAGTGAAGCAATTTTGTCTTAAAGTAACTCATATTTACCTTTTAAAGTTATAGGACTTTGCTGCAGTTGTCTCCATCAATGGAAAAATTATTTGCAGTTAGATTTTAGTTGGTAAAAATCTAGCAGGAATGCTCATATGTCTTTCACTTTAATTTCTTTACAGTACCTGTTTAATGTGCTGGTTAGAATAGTGCATTCGTTTTTGGCGTCACAGTTTGCCGAAGAGCATTTTTGAGTGCTGGTATTTGCTTCTGTTGTAGTGACTGTGCTGTTAGTGCCTTGCCTATAAAACAGACATTTATAGAGGGCCGTGTTCATGCTCATTCTCAGCCAGCGTAACTATGTAACTTGCGTAGTGACGCTATGTCATCGGTCATTACATTTATAGGAGGAGGTGGCCCTGCAGTGGCGATTTTGTGTGTAATGTGAAATGTAAATTTGCATGTTTAGAAAGCCAGAAATGGCTTGCTGTGTTCTTTTGTAAACATAAAATGCAGATTGTATGTTCAGTTTTTGCTATAACAGATGAGTCCTTTTCCCTTTCAGTCTGGTTTACGGGAGCTCCAGATCATCCCACCCAGATTCGGAGCTCCTCCATCGTCAAGCGTATGCAACGCCCCACCCCCTGCAGGGCTATGCAACCAACCATCATCCTGCTAGTTCTGGGCAGGGCGGAGCCTGGGGGGCAGCGGGGCGCAGCTTGGGTATGTGATGGCATCCTTTGTGTTGCGTCCTGTGCATGTGTCTGTCTGTCTGTCTGTCTGTCTGTCTGTCTGTCTTAAGAATGTAACTACAAACTACAACTTGCGTGTACAGATTCTGTCGAACTTGCATTCTTTTGTAACAGATATTATTCTCTTGTCAATTGGATGTGTGAAATATGTTTGCGTTTTCAGTGTAAGGCCTGTGAAAATGCAGTGCTTCTAGTGCTTCGCTCCATAAATGTACATTTCAGTTTCACATAGCAGTTTAGTGTCGTTCTACAGTGTGTTATGGGATTTAAATGTAATATTATCTCATCACACATAAAGAAAATGACATATCTTGTTCTTAAATTTGGGAATAGTTATCTAATATTTTGTTCATTTGAACACAAATACAACTATAGTACCAGTCAAAAGTCTGGGTACCCCTGGAGAAAATTGTTTGTTTTTCAATAAGATAACGACCCTAAGCAAACCTCGAGGTTATGTATTGAGTATTATCTTGTGAACAAGGAAAGAGGTGGAGTGCTGTGACAGATAACCTGACCCCTACAATCCCCCTGCCTAAACCCTATAGAGCTGGTTTTGGAAAAGTTTGATCAACAAATAAGATCAAGGTAGCTGACTTGTGCCTAGAACTTGTGGAAACTTCTTCAGGACTGTTTGAGAAGCATTCCAGGTGGCTACATCAGGAAGCTGGTTGAAAGAATGGCAAGAGTGCACAATGCTGTCATAGAAACCAAAAGGAGCTATTTTGAAGATAATTTTGAAATGTTGAACACTTCTGTTAGTTGTTGCAATATTTGATATGTATTACTTAATTTCCTCAAAGTTAATCTTTAAAGTGAATAATATAGCTAACATAGAGACAAAAGCATTAAAGACCGATCTGTCTAGATATTTGACTGGTACTGTACAGGTATAGCTAATACTATATCTGAAAATGTACCAATTATAATAAATTGGTTCATTCTGTAAAGTGTGTCGATTAGCGTGGTCCTTAAAAATGAAAATTTGAAAATGCTAGTTCTCACCCCCTAATTTTGTTATCTTAAGAAAAGATTTCAGGATTTTTTGATGATTTTTTCAAGCATGTTTAGAGGTTGCCCAAGCATCTTGAATGGCTAAAATAAAAAAATAATACCTCTCGTTGTTCTTATGTCATAACTTTCAATTTCATGTATTTTCAAATCTTTACATAGTGTTTTTTTTGGTCAGATTTTATCATTCTTGATTTTTAGCTAAATTGACCAAATGACAAAATGTGGTAGAGAGCACCCTTGATGCTAAACTGCCAAAAAAGATGTTTAGCACATTTTTGCTAACAATCAAATGAATAACCTGAAAGATTGATAAGCATTACCGAGGGTGGATGACTAAACTAGGCTTTAGCAAGATTGAATATTCGACCATAGTGTCAATTCATCGATCGCTGAGTACAAACTCCACTTTTTGTTCTGTTCTTATTTGTGAAAAAATATTCTCTGTTGCTGTACCCATTTTGTTTTCAGCAAAGTTTGGCTGAAATTTAGTATATTTTTTATTATTTACATTTACAGCCTTTGGTCTTGTTGGGCAACCTCTAAACATCAATAAAACTACGATTTTGCCAGGAATGATTTCTTACAATGCATTACAAGATAAAAGGGTGAGTGCATGAAAAACTGGCATTTTAAAATTTGACTCATAGCTAAGGACCACCCTAGCTCTGATTTATAAATTTTTTTGTAGCCCTTTTAATAGCAATGTTTCCTGTAACTAACAACAATGGTCGCCTTATTTGATAGTTAACCCAAACTAATCTTCCAAATGGCACATTATCGAGAATGTTGTGGTGTTTTTCAGGGATATATTTTTGCGCAAGATAGCATGGTATTTGGCTTATGTTCATAGCTGAATTTTTTGAGTATTTTACTTGTAGATTTATCCAGTAATGTACATTTAAAATTTCCCAAACAAACCAGTAATTGCTAGCTTAATTAGTCATGGTCTACAATACGACTGTGGCATGTCTGGAAATGATTTCATGTCGGTTCCAAGAAAAGCCGCTAAACCATGTACCTCACTTCGTCTCCACCAGTACTCAGCTCTCACCTTTATTCTTATATTTACATAAGTAGTCACACCTTAAGTTAGCAAAATTGACTGGGGGGAGTCTAGCTAACTTTTAAAAAAATTGCTATTGTGAATTGCACAGGCAAAGTAAGCCTACCATTGCTTTGTCCAATTGTCTACAATGCCAGTTGTTTTTATAAAATTAAACATCCTGTTAAAACAAGACATAATAATAAATTTTAGCCTAAAAAATATGGATTCAGAATGGTGACATCACTGAATGATACAATTGAAGTAGGGTGTGGGCCTTGACTTATTGGCTTGAACAGGAACTGTCTGTCTGTCTCTGCTTTTATACTGGGGGAAAAACAAGATGAAACATGAGCCAAAGTATTAATCTAGACAACTGTGTAGCTTAATAGTGGTCTTGATGGTTATGGTGGTAATAAAAGAGCTTATTTTTCTCTTATAATCAAAGAAAGCAGTAGAAGGACAAATCTGAACAGGTCTGGATGATTTTGTAATTTTAATTGTAAAAACCACAAAATTTTTAATTTGTGGAATTCTTCAAGTGTGTTTCACACCGGTGAGGAGAGCCTGAAATCACAGTCAGTCTGCAGTCAGACCTGTCTCTGAGGCTCACACATGAAGAGCCTGAAATGGCAGTCTGCAGGCAGACCTGTCTCTGAGGCTCACACATGAAGAGCCTGAAATGGCAGTCTGCAGGCAGACCTGTCTCTGAGGCTGACCCAGATGCTGCCATAGACATTAGGAGGTTTAAGTCGAGCCATAAATGGGCCAGCTTGCCAACAAAGAACCTGCTTATCCTATCCTGAAACAAACCACAAGGGGGTGGGAACAGCTCAGTACCGGAAGCAGATATGCCAGCAATTTGGCTTCCAGGGGCCATTTTGGTGTAGCGTGCTGGACGGTTGAGGGACGCGTTGTCCGGTGCTGTGTTGAGGTTCTCCAGATGGAATCGTGTTACTAAGTATTGTGAAATAACACCTGAAATACGCAAGTTCTGTTTCCGCAGATTAATGTCCTGTGAGGCTTAGAATTCATGATCCAAAATTAAATGTTTGGCCTTATTTGGAATGTCCTATATATCTATACAGTAGACTGTATAGTAGTAGTTATTGGTTAATAAAAAATCTGTTTGAGGAAAAACTAGGTATCTGTTACGTACAGTTAATTTGGCTTACACATGTGAATCTAAACTTTAGATTCACATGTGAGATTAGTTGGCACTTCAGGAACCAATCAGACATTTGATAGTTTTGCGTTCTTTGGTAGTTTTTATCCTCAGTGACAGAATTAATATATTTTGAATTAAACTGTTAAATAGCCCATTTCCTTGCCTGCCTATGCCTTTTTCCTGCTGGGTACATCAGTATAAAACCAGCATTAAGGACATCAGAGATTCCCTCAGCAATCTGTGGGTCTTGCAATTGCAAACTGCACCCCTGAAATTCAGTATATAATCTGTTACGTTAATTCTTAATGAATATTAGTAGGTCTGATTCTGTCGCAGTCTGATTGCTGTGTCAGTCTGATTTGCTGCAGTTTAGGTTTCAGCCCACAGGCCATCTACAATAATTGACTTTAAAAAACTTTGAAAACACACTCGGTGGTGTTTCAGTACTGGAAATCTTCATCAGTGTCGTGTTAGTATGTAACATTCTTAAAGACATGCCACTACAGGGTTATTCTTGCTGGGCAATGGGTAGCATTGTGGTTAAATATATGGAGATTCAGGTCCTGCCAGGGGCTGCTCATGCACCCCTGAGCAAAGTACCAAACCTGTAAAAATATCCTTCTGTACTGATCAGAAATAATTGTGGATTATGCTTATTTTATAATAAATCAGTTGAAAGTGAGGCAGCATTTCTTTCCTGTGAATGCCCAAACTGATATTCTTTCAGATGATGTCCTCTAAGTCATCCTTGCATGGCAATGCTGTATCGTTGGTCATGGTGGCCATCTCTGTGATCTCCTCCCAGGTCTATCTGGGCTGTTTGACACCGGCCTGCACCACGCCAGCCCCTCCGGCCCCGATGCCTCCGTCATGAATCTAATTTCAGCTCTGGAGTCCAGGGGTCCACAGCCACCCCCATCCGCCTCCTCCCTCCTCTCTCAGTTCCGCACTCCATCCTGGCAGACAGGTGAGTAAGGTCCCGTGTGTATGAAAGCAGTAACATCTGTGCAGCACCCATGTTTGTACTTGATTAAAAACATTTTATATGGGATGCAGATGTTTAATACTACTACTACTAATAATAATAATAATAATAATAATAATAATGATGCTGTTATAATAGGAGGTAGTAGTAACCATAATAGTACTATTATTAGTAGTAATATTATTATTTAGTGCTGTCAAACGATAAATTTTTTAAATCAGATTAATCACAGGGTTGCTGTGGATTAATTTCGATTAATCACGATTAAATATTCATTGTTAATCTATATTAATCGCATTTCATTTTGCATGAGCAAACAAACTCAAGAAAAAAGGGAATATATATGTACTTAACATGTTTATCGAACATCTTGAACACGAGTCGGATGCATTCCATCTGCCACAGAAGTGCAATACCATGGACCCATATCAAAAAGCAAGATTTTTTGCTTAGCCGGACAACTTGTCGGATTCAAGGTACCTTAGTTTATATGGTCTTTATCTTCGTTAACTTACAATTAGCCCGAACTACCGTAAATCTGACAAATAATCCGACTAATCATGAAATCCAATTCTAGCCCAGTTAATTACCATTGTTAGCAATATCAGTTGATAATACATTACGCGCGGTGCTTTACGTATAAAACTCCGTAGCAACACGTCCACAGATAAGTTGGACGGTATAGTGTGTGCGACCGATTTAATGAGCCACAAATGAGAAGTAGTGCTTAAACAGTATAAAACTACAGTGGTACCTCGGTTCTCGAACTCATTAGAACTCGAATTTCTTAAAAGTCGAACCAACTAGTTCGAAAGAAAATGATGTAGAACTCGATCTGAATCTCAGAAGTCAAACTGTGAACGCCGACCTAAGATAACTTGTACGTGTGGGGAAATGAGTCACGTGGCATGTCTCTCAGCGGAAACAAAGAATAAAGCTTCAGTCTCAGCCTCGCATTCGCTGTGATAGCATCATTCATGTTTACACTAGCTGAATACATATATTTAGACAGTAAAAATACATTTAGACAATGATGGACAGTAACAGTAATTATGATTATATAATGAAATATATTTAAAAATATAGATTTCTTATTAATTATTTAATATTAATAATAAACCATTAATACATTTAATTATAATAAGCGGGGACGGAACGGAGACAAAGGCGCAGACGTCAGGGTATCGAGGAATACAGGGTTTAATTACAGGTAAGGCAGGTAAACCGCAGACACATCGTTTGGATACATTTATTTTCTTACTTTACAAATTACTGTTTTGATAAATGTACTTAGATGTGTTTAGTACAGTATATGCTCTTCTTGTTTTATCCGGTTCATTTTGTGTTTAAATGCTAAAAAAACATTTTTAGGTGTAATTTTTTTGGGGCCGGGAACGAATTAATTGGTTTTCCATTATTTCTTATGGGGAAAATACGATCAGAACCCGAACTTTTTAGGATTCGATCCGGAGTTCTGAACTGATTAAGTTCGAGTTCTGAGGTACCACTGTACAACTTTCCCTTCTGTTGATAAAAGGCGCAACCATCTTGGATTCTGAACTCGGGATCCTCTGTGCTGCTCCGAGATATTTCTCGGATCTCCGAGAAACAGGAGCGTGCATGCCGTCACTTCCGGCTTCAAAACTCGGAATCTGACTCTGAATACCAGTTCCGAGGGAAAATGGAATGCACCAAAACTGCCTGAAATGGGTTGACAGAGACATTTCTGGGATTTTGAGTCATTCTGCACTGTAGATGGGTTAATTGCGTTAAAAAATGTAATCAGATTAATCATGATGATGGATAAATCCGCGTTAACCCGTTAATTTTGACAGCTCTGTTATTATTGTGATATATTTTGAAATAAGTGATGCAGTTTTAAGTTTAGAAATTTTCATAAACAGCTGGGGACTTATGTCAGAAGAGGAGACGCAGTCTTCATGGATCTGCTACATGGTTCCTGTCTGGTGGCTGGAGACCAAATTAAATGCATGTTATTGGGGAGACTCTGGTGTTCTGTGTAGCGCGCTGCCCTGTACCAGAGGCACCTTGCATTTAACCAACATTTCCCAGCTATCCAGCCACCCTCGTCCCCATGCCGTGCCCTAAGTTAACGCGCATGTACTTGTGCGCGCTGCTGCATTTAGGTGCTCTGTAGTCTTATTGTCGCCAAAGTGGTTATTTATCAGGACTCAAGGACCTCTTTGGGAAAAGGATTGTCTGCATAATAAGGGAATCAGCATGTAAGAACACAGAACAGGGAACAAACGGCACCTAGAAACACTAAAAAAATTAAATTTCCATTTTCTAACATGTATTGTGAATTGCCTTATGGTACAATGAGTGAAAGAAAGGGGTAGAAAGCCAAGGCCAGTAAAAATTAGATTTCCATGGACTGTCTTTCCTTAAATTATCTCAAATACTTTGGTATTTCTATTCATTATTTGAGCACAGAGGTAGGTGGGTCTGTTTAAAAAGGAGGAGGGAGAAATTAAAAGCTTTACTCTGGAGTACATCAGACATAACAAATTGCTGATGTACTTAATCTACTGAGAGAGAGGATGGATGGATGGATGGATGGATGGATGGAAGAAAATTTCTAAACCCATAAATATTGCATGTCATTCAAGGGAAGAACTGAACTGTTTTTTAATGCTTGTACATACTTTTATAATTAGATGTGATATAAAAATGTAAGTAACATCAAGCAACCTAGGACTAACAAGTTTAGTAGAACAAGTAGAACAATGTCTCTATGTTTAAGTTTTTGTCTGCAAAAGTTAGCTAGCTTGCCAACTGTTAAATAATATTACTAGTTACTGCTTTGGGTCTGTTTTCCTAATCTAATGTCCTCTGTTAGCTTGCTAGCTAGCAAAGCACAGGCATAAAATGCTACAAAGCTATGTATAACTCACAGTTTACTTAAATATCAGCCAAATACATCTAGGAGTTGAGCTGCTGAGACACACATGCTGTGGACTTTCTTTCCATCATTATCGGCATCTAAATTTAGCCCCAGACCAGCTGCTAGATGCAGATGATTTGTTGCTGGAATGCAAGTATTTTTTCCCAGCTGTACTAGCAGGTAGCAGTCAGATGGCCATTCCCATAGCCCTTCTGATATCGAACCTTTAATCTGAAAGTACAGCCGCACTATGCACAGAAAAGCAGAATAATAAAAATGATTGAAAATGAAACTTTAAGGTCAGCGGAAAGCTGCTTTGAAGGTCTGGCAGTGTACAGCCGCTGATGGTGTTTTCATGTTTTTGCGCAGTGACAGACTGATGAGGAGGCTTTAAGTTAACACTGCGGTAATTTACCTGAAAATCCTTTAACGTTTTGGCCCTGCTTCGTACCATGAAGCGCCAGGGCCAGGAGCTGCCTCCAGCCAGGTGGTTTTAACATCGCATTCCATGGGTGGTTAAATGCTGTATCATCATATGCTGAAGGATAATCTTTAGTTTACACTGATAATATATAATGTTCATAAAAAGTGAAATAGACTCAAGTGTATGATCTGTTTCAGCAGAGATCTGTTTACAAACCTGGAGTGCTCTAAAAGTGAAAAGCGTACTGTTTGGAGTTTACAGGCCTTGATGTTTTTGTATTTATCATTTGTGAAATAAAATGCATAACTAAACTCAACTGAAGAAAGCCCAAAAATGGACACTGTTTGGATCCTGGTCAGCATAAACAGTTGGAAGATGGATTTGTACTCACCAGCCCATTTATTACATGCACCTGTTCAACTGCTAGTTGAAAAAAATATCTAATCAGCCAATTGGATGTCAGCAGCAAAATGTATGGAATCATGTAGATACAGGTCAGCAGCTTCAATTAATGTTCACATCAAACACCAGAATGGGGAAGAAAGGTGATTTAAGTGCCTTTGAACACGGCATGGTTGTTGGTGCCAGACAGGCTGGTATGAGTATTTCAGAAACTGCTGATCTATTAGGATTTTCACACACAACCATCTCTAGGGGTTACAGAGAATGGGCCAAAAAAACAGTGAGCAGCAGTTGTTGGTATAAAAATGCCTTTTTGATAGCAGAGGTCAGAGAATAATGGCCAGACAGGTTCAAGCCAATAGAATAGCAAAAGTAAGGCAAATAAGCACTTATTACAATCAAGGTATGCAGAAGAGCATCTCTGAACACACAACATGTCAAACCTTGGGTTACAGCAGCAGAAGATCACACCGGGTGCCACTTCTGTCAGCTAAGATCAGGAAACCAAGGCTACAGTTGGCATGGGCTCACCAAAATTGGACAATGGAAGATTGGAAAAACCTTGTCTGGTCAGATGAGTCTCGATTTCTGCTGCGACATTCAGATGATGGGCTCAGAATTTGGCATAAACAACATGAAAGCGTGGATTCATCTTGCTTTGTATCAACAATTCAAAATGGTGCTTGTGTTGTAATGGTGTGGGTGACATTACACACACTTTAGGCCCCTTAGTACCACTTGAGGATCATTTCAATGCCACTGCCTACCTGAGTATTGTTGCAGATCATATCTATCCCTGTATGACAACAGCATATCCAGCTTCTAATGGATACTTTTAGCAGCATAACGTGCCATATCACAAAGCTCATATCATCTCAGACTGGTTTCTTGAACATGAAGAAGTGTTCGCTGTGCTCAAATGACCTTCACAGTCACCAGATCTCAATCCAATAGTGTATCTATGGAATTGGTGGAACGGGAGATTTGCATCTTGAAGGTGTAGCCAACAAATCTGCAGAAAATGTGTGATGCTATCATGTCATCATGGACCAAAGACTCTGAGGAATGTTTCAAGCACTTTGTAAATCTGTGGCACAAAGAATCAAGGCAGTTCTGAAGGCAAAAGGGGTCCAACCTGGTATTAACAAAGTGTGCCTAATAAAGTGGCCAGTGAGGGTTGAAGATTGGATGGTTGGATTAGATATCTCTGAGGCAACAAATTTTAACCAAACTAGTGTTGTGGCATCAAAAATAAATAAAATGTCCACATCTTGTAATGAGTACCCTAGTTCTTGATTGTAATTGAAAAAAATAATGTGTATTTGTTCCTGCAAGGAAAGACATTATAAAACATGCCTTTATAATTTTTTTAAACTCTTATACTAGTAAGCAGTATTTCAGAAAATACCACAGGCACAGAATCAATATTTCATATTCCTTTTCATGAAAGCATTGTCAGCCAGTAACAGCCAGAAGCATTAAAATCACTTGTCCCTAATAGAATTGAAATTAGGCATCTCTTATTAGATAAAAATGCAAATGACCAAAACTTGCTGGACATTAAGACCTCTTTCCTTGTCTTTAAATATTCGAAGGTCTCTTTGAAAAACGTGTTTTTATTCAACCTTTAAATGTAAGCATTAGAGGGTCATGCAGGATATGCAAATTCAGAGGCATTCTGCATCTGCTAATGTGCACAATTAGCAAACTGCTCGGAATAGATTTCCATGCAGATGTGCAGCGTCTGTGTGTTTGGGTGACGATGTTCCTGCCTTTGTGGATGTGCGTGGATGGTGACATTTATCAGCCAGTTAAAGCTCACCAAGCTGTGCTCTTAATTGTGTGGTGTGAACACTGCCTCCCTTTGTATACAAGCAGCTGTGATTTTTGTGATATTTCAGTTTGACTTCCCATTTGAGTCTCAAAACTGGTTTTTACTCTCTACCTTGGTTTTATTTTTCACAGCAGACTTCTACATGGTAAAGAATTACACAGGGAAAGTGGTTTTTAATCCATGCACAGAATTGCATCAAAACATATTTAGTCTAAATATAGTTAAACTATCGATCCCAGACAATATGCATGCTTTTAATACATAATTTATAATAAAATTTTGTGTGCTTGTTCCTGATTATGAAAAAAATGATCATTGTTTGGTCATTATTTTTTTTCTCCAAATAACATTTATGTGGAGCAATTGAGATATTTGAAATTTTTCCTGCTTGCTGGTATACAGCCAGGAATTGGGAAACTTCTGGAATTCATCCATGTTAACTTCTGCATACTCAGAGCAACCTTGCTGAAGGCCACGGATGGTGCTTACAGACAGTGCTTCCTTTATGAGACTGTAGGCCGTGCAGTTTATAGCTCGGCAAAGAAGACAGGGAAACATTTTTTTTCTTTAACTTTAGAAAATCTCTTGGCACTGGACCAATGGAGGTGACTTGAAATTCAGAAATGAATGACGTGTCCTGTACAAACAATATTGGCATATTGGGATACCTGAAAAAGGGCTCAAATATCAGGAAGGGGGCTGTGAGATTAGCTACATGTAAATTTCTAAGTAGTAGTGTGGCTGCCTAGTGATGGAGTAATTACTGCTAATATTTAAAATCATACTTAGCATCTCTTGTTTCTCATGCGGTAGTCTGTAGTAACATTCTGCGCCCTACATCTCTCCATGTTGCTTTTGGCTATGAGCTTCAGGATCCATATATGCTTTGCATGGGGCGCCGTTGTGTAGATGAGTATGGTGCTTATTGATTGTAAGTGAATACCTGAGGAGGGGGAATGCTTCCAGAATCATGTTTATTTACACTTTGCGGTGGGATAGCCAGGCATCAAATCCATATGATTCCTCTAGACATCTAGGGATATCCACAGATCAATTATTCTGACACTGTGTGATTGCTAGGTTGGATTAGCTCATAGTTTCTGAGGAAAAGGTATTACTTGTAAAAATGAACGTGTCCTCTCGTTAAAATTGAAACCGCATGGTATGTAGTGGTTAGCAGTGTGGATCTGTGGCGGTAAGGTTGGTGTAAATCTCACTAGCAGGACTGTTTTACATCCAACAGACTCTTAATCTGAGCTGCATAAATTACTCCGGGTAGGACAACCTGTAAAACTAATTGATCAATGAAGTAAATAGTTTTGTATATGCGCTCCAAACTGAATTTTTAAAGTATTTAATAACTTATTAATCTTACTGTTTTATTTGTCTCTCATTTGTCATGATATGATTTTGTTGACTTTTTTGTATTTGACAGCTGTACTTATCGCCTTTTACTGCTGTTAAGGGTACATGCCATTTTATTCTAAAAGGTGTCTGATGTAAGTATGTCTCCCCCCCCCCCCCCCCGTCTCTGTCCCCCACAGCCATGCACACTCCAGCCCCTGCTGAGCTCTTCATCTCTGGTGCCCTCCCTGGTTCCGGAACGTTCCCGTCGTCCTCGGCCCTCTCCGCTTACCAGCACCCGGCCTCGTTTTCAGGCCGCTCCTTCCCAGGGGTAACCCCCTCGCTGTCCCTCCAGGAAACCCCCACATTCAGTCCCACCTCCAATGGCCTGCTCTCCCCCCACGACTCCCTGCTGCACATCAAGCCTCCGTCTCAGTCCAGTCTGGGCTTTGACCGCCTGCTCTCCTCGCAGGGGGCGGCGTACAGAGGAGGACAGGACCCCACTGGCCCCCCGCCTCCGCAAGCTTCTACTACCTCCTCCTCTCGCCACCTGCCCCCACACCAGTTCAACCTGCTCTCCTCCCAGCTGCAAGACCAGTCCTCCCAGTTATACAACGCCTCTGTGTTCTCGTCGGCCCCTGCACCCCCACAGCCACCCCCCCAGGAGAGAGCCATTTCGAGACAGGACAGTGTCATAAAGCACTACCAGCGCCCTCCTCCCTCCCAGTCGCAGCTGCCATCCTCGGCCCACTCCCTGCAGCACTATCTCAGCTGTGGGGCTTCGGGGTATCAGCAGATCGCCCACCACAGGCATGCCGGGGTATCCTGCAGCCCACTCGGTGATCAGAGTCCCTCGTCCGACCCGAAACCTTCTCCACGGGCAGAGCAGGGCTACCGGCCCATCATCCAGCCCCCCTATACCACCTCCTCATCCTCATCCTCTGGGGGTGCAGGGAAGGGGGCGAAGAGCAGCTCCAGCAGCGGCTACTCTTCCTCTGGTTCGGGGTCCTCCTCCCGGACTCCTCATACTCCTCCATCCGCCTCCTCGACCTCTTCGTCCTCCTCCTCCTCCTCATCTGCATCTGGAGCGCATCCCCCGAATTCGAATCCCACGTCCAGCTCCACATCTGCCCCCTCTAGGCAGCAGCCCCCACCCCAGTCTACTCCAGCCCCTCCGCCACCCCTTCCACCCCCAACCTCCTCATCCTCTGCCCCGCAGCCGCCACCAAAGCCGTGCCTCTCAGGCTATGGTTCCCCCGTCGCCCCCGTGAAGCCATCTTCAGCCCTCTCTGGACAGACGCCCCCCCAGCAGCAGACCCAGTCCTACTCCCCCAGCCAGCCCCCTCCCTCACACCTTACACAGCCCTACGGAGGCTTCAGCTCTCCCCAGGCCCAGGACCTGAGCTCTGGTGCCGGTGCTGGTCAGGGCAAAAGTTATGGCAGTTTCTCAGCCGAGGTGGTTTACGGGGCCGATTCAGGGTACAGTTCACTGTCAGCGTCTCTAGGGGGCGCCGGAAGCCCGTCTTTGGGCTACAGTGGCCCAGGCCACTCACCTGCTCTTCTGGGATCTGGGGGAGGTGGGGGCTCAGCTGGAGGCAGCACAGGGTCCGGGGCGGGCAGTGGAGGTGGTGGGGGTGGTAGTGCAGGATCTGGGGGAGGGGGTAGCAGTGTGGGGAGTGGAGGGGGAGGAAGCTCATACCACCTCCCAGACTCTAGCCCCTCGCCCTCGGGCAATTCTGGAATAATCCGTCCTGGGCTTCATTCTCCTGCCCCAGCTCGTCGTGCTCAGTCCCCTGGGGGAGCTGGGGGCAACAAGTACCTCTCCTCTGTGCTCTCCCCTGCTTTCCTGTCATCTCCGCAAGGTTACCCTGATAGCCGGGGGCCCCCGCCTCAGTCCTACCACCCCACGCCCCCCAAATCCAAGGCCGACTCCGACATCCTCGGGGTGGAGCGATCCCATGATGATGAGGATGATGATGACGACTTCTTGATTCAGCACCTCCTGCAGGCTCAAAGCCCAGGCCCCCATGCCTCCCAGCACCACCCACAGCAGCCCCCCCAGCCACAGTCCCAGGCCCCGCCTGTACCACAGAGCCAGGATGGTGGGAAGGCGCTGGCATATGAGCTGAGCAAGAGCTCTGAAGAGAGGTACCACCTCCAGAGTGTCATCCGCACTAACAGCGCCACCTCTAATGCGGGAGTTAGCATTGGGGGTGCAGGAGGGCCCGGAGGAGCGCCCTCTGGTGGCATGGAGGGCCAGATGGACATTTCGCTAAAGAAGCAACAGCAGCAGCAGGCAGCACAGCAGCAGAAGCCTGAGAGGCCTGGAGGAGGTGGCGGGGGGAGAGGTGGGGCAGAGCACTCGCACACCCACACGCACCCCCATCACCACGACTCCCTGGGCTCCGTGGTGCACTACAGCCGCAGCGACCCATACTCCCACGCCCTGCCCCAGCACCAGGCCCACCCTCCACACGCTCTCCCTCAGTCTCACTCCCATCCACACATGGAGCTCCAGAAGAAAGCCCAGGACCCGTCAGAGCTGCCCTACCTGCGCAAGACCCCCGACCTGCAGCCACCGCCGCCCCAGGCCGGCCTCTCCCTCCTGGACTCACCCACTGACCAGCCACGCCAGCCACAGCACCTCCTGCAATCAGTACTGTCCCACACGACCCGTGGCAAGATGGACTCGCAGACCCAGCAGCACTCCATGGGACAGCAGGCCATGATGGCCGGGGCTGGGGGCGTGGGGAGAGCGGCAGGGGAGAACCAGCCCTCGTCCTCCCAGCTGCAAATGCAGCTCCAGTCGCAGGCCATGGAAGCCCACTACGGCCGGGGAGCCCAGCAGAACCAGAATCAGTCCAGCCAGAACTCTGTCCCTCCCTTAGACATGCTGGAGCACTCGCTCTCTCAGACTTCCTCCAGGGAGGTAGGGGGGGCTGGTGAGAGGGGTGTCGGTGGGGGAGTAGGGGCCGCTGGGAGCAGCAGCGACCGGCACAGACAGCAGCAGCCTCACAGAATGCCCCCACTTCACCAGTCCCACCACCCGTCCCACGCCACGTCTGAGCTGCACGACTTCCTGTCCGAACCTGACCTGGGCTTATCGGCCCCCTCCCACTTGCATCACATGGCCCCCCATCACCCCCACCCTCACCCCCACTCCCATCACCAACACCCTCATGCTCACCACCCTCACCACCCTCACCCGCACCCCCATCCTCACCATATGCCCCCACCTCAAAACTCTGTCCCCCCTCAGCAACAGCAGCAGAGAGAGCAGGATGCCCACCCCACCCAGCTCTCCCAGTCACAGCTGGAACAGCTGAAAGAGCACCAGTTTGACACAGGCAGCCCTGTAGGGAAAGGCGGCCAGGGCCAGCAGCAGAGATTTGTACCCCTGACCTCCATCTGCTTCCCCGATTCCCTCCTGCAAGATGAGGACCGCTCCTTTTTCCCGGGAATGGAGGACATGTTCTGCTCCGACGACTACAAGTCTAGCTGCAGCGGGGGAGGAGGGTCAGACCAGGCTGGGCAGGAGGGGGTTTCAGAAGTGCGACGTGGGCAGGAGGGCATGGAGGCCGTGAAGGCTGCAGGTGGCGCTGCAGGGGGCAGTTACGACATGCTGGGGCACCACGGAGACCAGGGCTATGATCAGTACTGCCACAGCCTCCCAGAGTCTGGCGGCGGGAGTGTGCATTTGGACTTGGACTCTCTGAAGACGCATGAGCTGCCCTCCACGGTGAACACGGAACAGCTTGGCCTGATCCAGGGCATGGGGGCCACTGGTACCCCTGGAGATGGATCAGGGAACAAGATGCTCGGTGGGACTGGGGTTGGGGGAGGAACCAACCCTGGGGGGCTCACTTCTCCCATCTTCTGCTCTTCTCGCCCCAAGAAGCTCTTGAAGACCAGCTCCTTCCACCTACTGAAGCAGAGACGCGACCCGAACTCCCTGCCCAAGAAGAGTTACGCACAGGAATATGAGTTTGAGGATGATGAGGACAAAGCCGACGTTCCTGCTGATATCCGCCTGAACAGCAGGAGGCTCCCGGACCTGCTCCCAGACTTGGTTTCCAGCTGTCGAAAGTCAGTGGGACCTGTGGGAGGCGAAGGAGCTCTGAGCCCCCTCATGGGTGACCTCGATTTCTGTCATACCTCTGGATACCCATCGCTTGGCCCTCCTCCCCAGCTCATGCCTCACGACGGGCCCAAGAAGAGGGGCAGGAAGCCGACAAAGCCAAAAAGAGAGGGGCCCCCACGGCCCAGAGGCAGGCCTCGGATTCGCCCTTTACCAGAACCCCACCACTCCCGAGGCATGATGGGGGCCCTGGGGCCGGGGCTCGGCGGAGAGAGCCGAAGGGGGAGAGGGCGGGGCAGGGGGCGAGGGAGGAGGGAGGACACCATGATGGACATGGCCAGTAAAGGCCAGAACCAACATCACCAACATCTGCAAGTGCAACAGCAGCTGCATCACCCAGCACAGGAGCTTGCGGAGCCCATCAGACCCCTCAAGGTGAGCATAGCAGCAGTGGGCTTGGTATAGCTGACACAGGCTGCGGAGCAGGTCAGGCCGAGCAGCGCAGTCGCGGCTTACGTATCTGTCTCTCTTCTAGATAAAACTGCCGATCCCACCCATGCCTCCCTCTGATGCCCTCCTCAGAACAGACTCGCTGTCTGGCACCGACCCTGTTCTGTCAGATGGTTCTGTAGGTTCTGCTCCTTCTTTGGGTCTGAGCCCTGGACCCACCAGTGGGATGGACATGAACAGAACTCCAGATAAGATCAAACAGAAAGTCCAAGAGGTGAGGGACTGTGGGCTTGTCGAAGTGAAAGTGTTCTTGGCATTTGTCTTTTATTTTTATTTGTTTTCTATTCCTGCTTTTAGTGGCTGTTTCTGGCAGTTTTCCATCTTGCATCAGAGCTGATATTTCACTGCAAGACTATGTCTCTTCTTAAAGAATTTTGGACTTGATGCTGGCATCTTTCAGAATTGATTTTACTCTTTGGTATTAAAGCATTAATGCAGCTTGCTTTGCTAATTTGGTCCCAGTGTCTGGCTGCGAGTGCAATCGCTGAGTTCAAAGATAGGAGGGAAAATGACTGAAATCCAAGATCATCTTGAAGATTTGAACCTGAACCATTTTTGTCAGGGAGAAAAAAGACATACCTTTAGTGCCTATGAACCTAAGGAGATTTAATAATTTCATAGCAATGACAAGGAAACTTGGCTTTCAGGTCTGATGTTTGTCTTGTAAACTGAGTTTCCTGCCTTATGGGAAGGTTGCATGTTACTGCCTGACCATATATACATGCTGCACTTGATCACTTTGATTTATTTCAGAAATAATGTTTAAGGAGCGTTTGCCATCAAATACTAAGAAAGCAAGTATAGAATTTCACTGACGTTATTTTTTACAAGATAATGTTTGTTCTTTTAAATTTTAAGAAAAACTTACATTAGAGTTTGAAATGATAACGTTTATAACATGAGAGGTCGCACTGACCGCTTAAGCCGTATAACTTCAAAGCCTTGCTGGGTTTTGTTATCAAATAATTGGTCTCTATGGTTCACTTTAGACGTTTAAATATGCCTATTGCCTCATATTTACTCTTTAACTGTTGAAATTTGCATGAAAATTGTTTTAAACCCAAGCTACCATATTTAGGAAGGGCCAGCTGATTGTTTTACATTTTGGGAAAGTGCATAATGTGAGTGACAGGGTGAGAAACAACCAGGAAATGGACAAAAAGCAAGGCCGTCAAGTTCGGCAGCTTGCAATTAATCAGACAGCCAGACAATCAACGTATCAATCATCAGGCTAAACAACAAGCAGTAGAATGCCCCGCCTTCTCAGAGCCAATCGTCACTAAGCAAATGCCCCACCTTCCTCGAGTCAATCATTTTCAAGTGACAGGAAGCCCTGCCCTCTTGTACTCAATCAGCCAATCATGGCTGAATGAGGAACTGTAACTGCTTTTTACTCGGGAAATACTTTTGATTTAATTAACCTGCCATGTTAAACATGGTCTTATATTGTATTTATTTTAAGAAATATTTTTTAGTGCGCTTGAAATATTTTTATATTGCACATGGCATTACATTTAATATTTATTTGGGGCAGCATGTGGCTCAGTGGGCTAACCCTGTGTGCCTGTAATCAGAAGGTCGCCAGTTCAAACCCGGCTCCTTGAGCAAGGCCCTTAACCCCCAGCTCCCTGGGTGCTGCTACAGGTGGCTGCCCTTCACGGACAACTTACTCTGCAAAGAGCAAGTTGAGGGAGGCATAAAAAAAGAATTTCCCCACAGGGACAATAAAGGATCAATTATTAATATTTCATAAGAAATCTATACATATCAGGCCACACAGTTTAGTCTGAAAAGTCATGTGCATGTGAAAACATAGCAATTCACATGTTTATTGCCTTTCAGCTACAGGATAACTGACTTATCAATCAGCAACTATTGAACTGAGTGTTTGTCATCTTCTAGCTGCTTATTTTGGTCAGGGGGTATTTAAGTATTATCTTTAATGAACGAAAATGCCAGAAAATCTGTGTGGCTATATATAAATTATTATATAAAAAGAAATATCAAAATCAATTGGAAATAATTTCTTGTTAAGGATAAATGCTTTTAATGTTTTAGTATCTCAGTGATGGATCAGTATAGCCCTGAAACATAGTGTTAAATGATATTTGAGGTTTGTCTTATTAGGAAGTTGGGTATTCCTATGCAGAGAATGGGTGAACAGTATTTCTAATGCTGTAATGTTGTTTACATACTTCAGCTGTGTAATTATATAGCCAATTAAAGCTTGAAGAACCTGATTGGTCAGTAGTTGTGAATACCAGTTGTATTGCAGGTAATATAACACACCCACTTTGCCAAATCGAGACACCAGTGACACTTGTAAAATAGCTGGTCAGTATTTATCTCTGTAGTTTATGACATTGAGGTGCAAATGCTAGTGAGAATCTAACTCCAAGTATGTTATACAGAAGAAGAATTCCATTCCCAGCCAGTCATGCTGTTCCAGGACTGGTTTTGAACCTGAGCTCTTAAATGCTTTGTATATACAATATCTAAACAGCTGTTATGACTTCCTCCTGTCTTTCCTTTAATCCCTTCTTTCTTCCTTCCCACTACTTCTGGCCATGTTTCCAGGTTGATGATAAAGAGCCAGAGGTTAAATCCGGATTCATGGCCTCCTTCCTCGACTTCCTTAAGTCCGGCAAGAGGCCGCCAGGGTCGGGAGTGCCTGCAGGGGCTGCTGGGACTCCCGACAACGGTGGCTCCTCCCCCAGCAGGACGGGCATCCGTCCCCTGTCTCCACCACCACCCCCGCCACCCCCTCCACCCCCTCCAGCTTTTGGGGAGACCGAGGGGGATGGGGGCTTGGCACTCAGCAACTGCCCCAGTCCATGCAAGAGGCTGGATGAGGAACTGAAGAGGAACCTGGAGACCCTCCCGTCCTTCTCCTCGGACGAGGAGGACTCTGTGAGCAAGAACCAGGATCTGCAGAAGAGCATCTCCTCGGCCATCTCGGCGCTCTACGACACTCTGCAGACGCCGCTCCCTGTGGCCCCGCCCACACCGGTGCCTCCCACCCCCCAGCCCCCATCTCTGAGCCCCCCACCAGCTCCGCACGTGCACCAGGTGTCTCCGGAGCCGGCCGAGCTCGAGAGGCAAGAGGAGCAGGAGGATGAGGAGAGCCTTGGAAGAGAAGAAGAGATGGAGGAGGAGACAGAACCTGAGCTGGAGGTGCTAGGTGCCCCCAAGGTGGCAGGTATGGAGCTGGAAGTCTGTAGGAATGCTGGAAGTGACCTGGTTCAACACAGCTGGTCTTACCTGGCCTTTTTCCACCTTTTCTTTAGATTCCCCCATAGAGCCCCCTCCAGTTCCTGCAACTGCCACTCCTCCACCCCCTTCCCCATCCCCCGCCCCCTCTTCCTCTCCTTCCCCTCCACCCCTGCCCCCACTTTCTCTCCCATCCCCCCTCCCACCGCAGGATGAGCCGCACCAACAGATATCTCCACCCTCCAGCCCACTTACTCCATCTCATCATTCCCCGTCCCCGCCACCTCCGACACTCCCCCCATCCTCGACTCCACCCCCATCCTCCCCTCTGCCTGTCCCCGAGTGTCCCCAGCCATCGCCCCCTTCCCCCCCTACCCCAGAAGATGCCCCTGCCACCCAAATAACACCCCTGCATTTGGCCAAGAAGCAGACAAATGCCGCCATTGCCGGGGAGAGCGAGGAGGAGGACAGCGAGAGTGGTGGAGAGGGCATATTCCGCGAGAGAGATGAGTTTGTGGTGCGGACTGAGGACATTGGCACTCTCAAGGTATTGTGTGTGTGTGTGTGTGTGTGTGTGTGTGTTTTATGGCGAGCCAGAGAACCGCGGTCCCACATATGCAGCTACAGCAGCTGCTGCTGATTTGCCCTCTCTGTGACGGATGGGCTCCTTCATGCTTGTTACTCTGCACAGAATCCATGGCCCTGAACTCCCTATCCTGCCTGTTCCGTGCTTGTATGCTTCAAGAGTGAGATGTGTACAGAGTCCTCTTGAAGCCCTTCCCCAGTAAGTCTCCTGTTTCTCCCCACTCAGCTGGCTCTGCAAACTGGTCGTGAGCCACCCCCAATCTGGAGGGTGCAGAAAGCGCTTCTGCAGAAGTTTACCCCTGAGATCAAGGATGGGCAGAGGCAGTTCTGTGCTACCAGCAATGTGAGTCTCCTACTCGTACACAGTGTCAAAGTATTGAATGTGGAAGAAATGAACAGTTTCTTCCCAGCCTCTCCGCATGCCTGAACAATAGCTTCAGATATTTCTCTGTAATTAGGTATCTGTTGTATTTCCAATGAGTACAAACCGAAAAGACACTGGGATGTTACATATAAATGGCTATGTGGGTTTTCACCTCTGCTTACTAAGAGTCTGTTTCGGTGCTCCCCATTTATCTCACACGCACTGCTGTCGGCAGAGCCTCCCAGTAGCTGCTAAGAATAGGGATGCGAAATTGTCTGTATTTTTTTGAACTGTTGGCATTTTGGAGTAGTTTTGGAATCTATTGAAGCATTGGGAATGTGTGCTCCTTTTTCATATTTTAAAAATCTAGATGTTTTATTATTATTTACAAATTTCAAATGATTTATTTCTATGCTTAGAGAATGCTATAAAAATTTCCTGCTGTGATCCGTTTCCGAAATAACCCCGGAGAGTCCCTCCCCCCCCCAGTTCCCACTCCTGCCCAATCTACTCTCATGGTGAGAGGCGTTGTGCTCTATACCATGGTGTGTTTGTCACACTGGCAGTGACATGCCACTGTGCATCATTGGTCATCGCCGGCCCTTAGTGTCCCAACCTGCTGGTCCATGGTAACCCGCCCTGGCGACCCTCAGCCTCAGTGCTGGTCCTTGGTAACCCGCCCTGGCAACCCTCAGCCTCAGTGCTGGTCCTTGGTAAACCCTCCCCAGCAACGCTCAGCCTTGGTGCCTGACCGCCGTGTGTATGACCTGTCAAATGCCCCATTCCCACGACGGGACCCAAGCTACAGTAAATCACTCTGTGCCGTCAGGCTGACCATTCCTCTGCCCCCGTCATGCAGTACCTGGGATACTTTGGCGATGCCAAGACACGGTATCAGCGCCTCTATGTCAAGTTCCTGGAGAACATCAACAAGAAGGACTACGTAAGGGTTTGCTCGCGGAAGCCTTGGCACAGGCCTGCACTAGCGCTCAGGTACGTTAGCAAAGCCCTCTTAGCAATCACTCTGTCCCATTTTGTCCTATGCTGATGGGGTGTATCTACTGTCTCAGTCTGTTTCCGATCTCAAGGGCTGGTCAGTCGCTTGTGAATGTGACATTCCTTCTCTTTGAAGGCAGATGACTGTAATGCTGGTCCTGCGTTTGAGGTCCTCAGCCTTGGGGCAAGGGATATATACAGGGGCTCGGGTCCCAGCTGAAAGCTGATTGGCCCTGGGTGTGCTCCCTCATGGGTGTGCTGTGTCATTAACCACATCAAAACATCTCATTGGCTAATGATGAAATTGACCCCTCTTTTGCCCCCTACTATAAAAAATCTTTGAATCACTCCCATTGAGGGCAGAAGTCCAAACTATAGGGGGGTGTTCAACAAGTACTGGAGGGATTAGTGGAAATGGTGCTGGACAGCCTCTCTGGCTTTTCTCTCAATGCAGGCGTCAGTCTATCCCCAAGCCAGCCGTACATCCCCGCAGCCAGACCCCTCCCCGTGTGGAGAGGGAGGAGAAGGAGCGCGAGAGGCAGAGGGAGTGTGAGCAGCGAGCAAAAGAGCGGGAGAAAGAGCAGCGCAGCAAGGAGCAGCAGGAAAAGGAGCGAGAGAGAGACAAGGAGAAGGAGAAGACGAAGGAGAAGGAGAGAACCCCTCACCCAGCCCAGGAGAAGCTGGAGAAGAAGGCAGGAGGGGCAGAGCGAGGCAAAGGGAGGGAGGACAGGAGAGGAGGTGGGGGGAGTGAAAAGAAGCTAGAGCGCCCCCCCAAGGCAAGACCAGTGAAGGTGAAAGCAGAGCCCCCTCCAAAGAAGAGGAAGAAGTGGCTGAAAGAGGTCCCGTCCTCCTCCGATTCAGAGTCCTCGCCTGACCCCCCCAGCGAGGATGAAAGTGAGAATCTGTTTATCTCCCTTTCAGTGTCAACAAACTGGTGTCTCCTGAGCTTGCCTCTGGGCAGGTTATTGTTAGTAGTGTCTCCCTAAACCTCATACTGCTGGTTTTCTATATTCAGCATCTACAGTTGCATTACCTTGGAAGTCATCAGGTACACCGTTAAAATCTTCGCTACAAAAGTGTGCATCAGTCTTAGTTTGAAGGTACCTTGTGTCCATTGCTTCTCCCAGTGCCGGTTCGCGGAGGAGTAAACAGCCGGGCCATGCGAGAGATGTTCCGTAGCTACGTGGAGATGCTTGTCAGCACTGCACTAGACCCCGACATGATACAGGCTCTGGAGGACACTCACGGTAAGCACATAAGTGGCAGTTAAGTTGTGAATGGACTTGTCTGCTCACTCTGTCTCTGTCTCACTGTCTATGTCTGTCAATCAGATGAGCTATACTTGCCTCCAATGAGGAAGATCGATGGAATCCTCAATGAGCAGAAGAGGAAGCTGCTGAGAAGAGTGAACATGAGCTCTCAGCACCAAGTATGGCTGTCTCCTCACCTTACTCTCTATCCCTTTGCAATTATCTCTGGTCTCCTCACTGTACTTTCTGGTCTCCTCACTGTACTTTCTGGTCTCCTCACTGTACTCTCTGGTTTCCTCGCCATACTATCTGTCTGGTCTCCTCGCCATACTCTTTCTCTTCTCACCTTACTCTCTGTATTGTACTCTACTTCTCTGTCTCCATGCCTTAGTCTCTGTCTCCTCGCCATACTCTGTCTCCGCGCTGTACTCTTCTATCTCTGCAACATACTCTGTGTCCCTAAATAGAGACAACAGGTGATTATTAACTAACATAGCACTTTCATGATCCCCCTGGGGGAAATTTTCCATAGTCTGGCAGCAAAGTTTTCCAGATAGAGTATGATAACAATAAAGTAAGAACTGGAATGTATGCATGCTATAAAGAATCTAGGGAGTATATATAGAATTTGCAGGAAATACAAAGTTAAAAATAAAAAATCCATCTGTGGAGAAATAATTATGCAGGCAATGGAAGTCAGTATGAGTTCTAAATGGAGATAAGGTACAATATGTCAGCAGTGTATGTCACTCTGCAATATACACTGGCAGTAATAATGAAATATACTGGATAAGGTATACTGTAGGTAGAGCTAGTGGATTTGACATTAGGATAAAAACTTTTGAAATTCCTCACAATTGGCTGTTGAATATGAAAGCATATGTGTAGCAAAATTCAATTTGCAATGCAATATGCAAAATGTCAATATAATATGCAAAATGACAATGCAATATTCAAAATGGCAACGCAATATTCAAAATGGCAATGTAATTCTGTATTTAAATTTACATTTTCCATCACCTCCACGCGTGCAAAATTTGGTGCAGAATGAAATTGAAAATTAAATTATATCATTTACATTTGCCATTTCCAACAGTAGTCTTAAGTTGTAAAGTGCATACTATTTTAATGCTTTATAAGTAGCAAAATTAAAATGAAAATGTATAACCCAAATTGATTTGATATGTGTAAAGTGTCCAAGCAGAAACAGTAGCAAAATTATCATTTAAATGTTATTAGTCCTAAATGCATTTAGACTAACAGTTAGGACACGTACAATTGCATTTTCATCATGACGCCGTGGGATATTTGTAGCAAAATTCAATGCGGCTTTGAAAATGCATTCCGAGCTGACCACGCCCACCCTACGGCAATCATTGCGTCAAGGTGGGGATTGGCGGAAGCGTGTTACGTTTAGATAGTTTGAAACATGGCGGCTGGAGATCTGATAAGATCGTTGAATTCATTGGCAGATGAAGTGGAGCGTGAACAGAGAAATAATGTTTTTGAAGCATCATGGAAACATGGCATTTTTCCAATAGGATTTAACACCAATAAAATCCATCACATACCAGTATACACCATTAAAACCAATGCAATTCCCATTATAACCATTAAATCCATTACTTATTTTCTATTGTGTTTCAGGGAGGGATCTATTGTTTTTTTTTTCAAGCAGGGAAACATGCCTCTGTGAAGTTTCTTATTTACTCAAGTGATCTGAATTCCCTAGTTCAATTTTATCAGATTATTCAAGTCAGCCTATGTGTTTCCATGATGCTTCAAAAACATTATTTCTCTGTTCACGCTCCACTTCATCTGGCAATGAATTCAACGATCTTATCAGATCTCCAGCCGCCATGTTTCAAACGATCTAAACGTAACACGCTTCCGCCAATCCCCGCCTTGACGCAATGATTGCCGTAGGGTGGGCGTGGTCAGCTCGGAATGCATTTTCAAAGCCGCATTGAATTATGCTACAAATATCCCACGGCGTCATGATGAAAATGCAATCGTAAGTGTCCTAACTGTTAGTCTAAATGCATTTAGGACAAATAACATTTAAATGATAATTTTGCTACTGTTTCTGCTTGGACACGTTACACATATCAAATCAATTTGGGTTATACATTTTCATTTTAATTTTGCTACTTATAAAGCATTAAAATAGTATGCACTTTACAACTTAAGACTACTGTTGGAAATGGCAAATGTAAATAATATAATTTAATTTTCAATTTCATTCTGCACCAAATTTTGTACGCGTGGAGGTGATGGAAAATGTAAATTTAAATACAGAATTACATTGCCATTTTGAATATTGCGTTGCCATTTTGAATATTGCATTGTCATTTTGCATATTGTATTGCCATTTTGCATATTGCATTGCAAATTGAATTTTGCTACACATATGCTTCCATAGTTGAATGAGGCATTGAATAGGCAAACTGTAATATGGCAAGTGCCTATCAAACTGATTAAAATAGGTGTTTATAATACTAACTGCAGTTTAAAGCCCCTCTCCCAGTAAGTCCATGGGTGTATTTGTGGGATACCCTAATCAGGAAAGACTGTGCTGATGGTGATGTTTGTTCTCCCTTCACTCACACAGGAGGCGCTACACGCTTACCCACAGATGACAGCGGACGCCCTGGATTCGGGGGCAGTGAGGGTGCGACTAGGTGGGGAGGGGTACAATCGTAAGACCCTGAACAGGGTGAAAAGGAGCCTGCCGAAACAACAGGTGAGTACTGTGGCGGTAGCTCGGGGCTGCCATAAACTCCATAGCACATATGATAATGCATTATCAAGACATTACTGCAGTGTTATAAGAGAGAGTCTGCAAGGGTGCTTTTCCACTGCACCAGATACTGTACTTTTGGTACTAAAAATTCAGAACTTATCCTTTTTCATTGATTTCCAGTTGGATACCAGCACTAAAAGTACCAAACCAGCCGTAGTACTTTTCGGTACTTTGGGGCAGGACTTGCAAACATGTTTATTGTCAACTGTTTATTCAGATAACCTGATGCGCAAACACAAGATACATTGACTATCCTGAAAAAGCATAGTTATGATCTCAAAGTTAAAAAAAAAAAAAAAAGGTAGCATGGTATTGGAAAAAGTTTAAATATTGCGCTGTGATTTTATCGCAATAAATTTATTTTACAAAGCAAAAAACAGTTAAAAATAAAAAAAATCTTACAAGCCTGTAAAGTAATAGGTTACAGCAAGGATGAAAATGATTATGATTGACTCAGACAGCACATGCAAAGGCAGTGGCAGTAAACTTTATACTGATAATGTCCAGACAGTATGAAAAAGCCAGATCTCAACCCATCTGACCATCGCAGTTCTTGCGAAGCAAGAGTTGCGTGTGCATAACATGCAGTGCTGGGTATAATATCGCACATCACCAGCCCTATATACTATAGCCATTTTTCAAATTCAGTGCAAAAGCCCCAGCCTTGAGTTGTAATGTCATCCTATGCCAATACCAGTTTTTTTGCCAGTGGAAAACCAACACAAGAAGTACTATAATTTTCTTGAAGTACCAAAAGTACAGTACCTGGTGAAGTGGAAAAGGAGCCTGACAGTAGTAAAGTCAGAATCCTGGTGAACTGTTGTTTGTCACATTAGCCTAATCAGTAGTTTGCAAATATAAGGTGATTTCATGAGGATGGAGGGTGTTCACACATTCTCTCGTTCTTCCTCAGGACTTTAAGCTGTCAACGGAAACATGCCGGCTGTACAGTCTTTACCACTCCCTGCATCATTATAAATATCACACCTTTCTGCACTGCAAACGAGAGGTGGGCGCCCTAACCCTGCCACACGTCCTCCCTGTCCTGCGGCCTACCTCAGACACCACTGTGGCTCTGACGTCCCTCTGCTGAGCTGCCTAAAATACATACTCACCATAACCTTGAAAACTGCTAATGTTGATGAGTGCTTTTGGAAAATTTTCCTGTGTACATGTGTTGTGGTTATGTTCCTTTGAAATTTTTATGAAAGGATCATGTGGCAGACTGATTTATGTGGATGACTGTAATACCTTGTTTTAGGTAAAGAAACAGTTTGAAAAAGGCAGTTGAATTGATTTAATTTGGTTGAATTAAAGTTTTAAAAGGAAGATACGCACATAAAGGCACCAAATAAACATAAATGAACCGAATACCTGTAAATAGAAAGAAGGCAGTGCCTGTTTGAACTTTTGAGAGAAACCAAGCCAGCAGATTCTCTCTGTCGCCATGGCGGCTAACTGTCGCCATGGTGCAGGTTATCACTAGATGTTTCATCTTTAAACGTCTCTTTGCCCTTGCAGACGGACAGTATTGAGCAGGCAGCAGAAGACCCCGGGCAGGAGGAGGTGGTACAGCAGTGCATGGCCAACCAGGGCTGGCTGGAGACCCTCTTCAACTCTTTCATCGAGCTGCTCACCCTCAGTGCCAAAGCCTGAGGGACTGGAGAGGGACAATGAGGCCGAGAGTAGATCAGCCACTAGGGTCTGGGATGGGCAACGGCAGCCCTCAGCAGACAGCTGAAGCGGGCCCTTCCCAGAGCCGCCCCCTCGGTCAGATCTGCCCTTTCTCACTCGTGCTTTTGTCGAGATGAGACCCCTTTCAGCTGTGGCTCCCCAAAGCAGCCAAGGCCGCAAGCGCTTTTGACAAACGTAATCACGGACACTCGACTTGCCCAGGCTTGGATGCCATTCGCTGGCCGAGTCCTGCAAGTATGTGAGCTTCTGAAGGAAACTACAAGGAGGAGAGGCTCACAGGCTGAGCTGATGGGCTAAGGAGGAGACGGAGGTCCGAGTTTCACCGGAATAAAGCAGACAAGAGACCGAGTACTACTTTTGATAGTGTTAGAAGACTCTGTGTTAATGGTTTTATTTATCATAATTTATTTCATACTTTTTTGTGCGAGATAACAGTATCTGACGTTAAAAGGTCACAAGAGGTGGGGAAAAAAACAGTACTTTTGCAGTGTGTAAGAAATGAAAAGTTGATCATAATGTAGGCTTAGATGAGAGGTTGACAGCAAAATGCGTTTTGCCATTCAGTGCTATAGGCTGTGTCAGAAAGCTGTGTTTTACTTATATAATAAATATTAATCATTGTTATTTTTATTATTTATACAAGAACATTTTTAAGTACCCAGACAAGCTGGGATAGTTTGTTATTGCTATTTTAAACAACATTCTGTTCAGGTATAAATGAGATTTATACCATACCTTATGCCCACTCTCTTGTCCAGTTTTTTCTCCATGCAGGAAGAAATGGAGACAAGAATGGCAAGAAAATGTGTTTTTTTTTGTCTGATTTTAAAAAAGAGGGTGAAATTGTATTTAAATGAAAAGGTGTTATGTTCATTCTTAAAATGAAGGGAAAAGTGAAATATGTAATGTGTTTGGTTTTCTAAATGAAAGTGGGAAAGGCTATACAGATGTAATAATTAAAACGAAAATGTGTTAACAGTTTTGTTTTTATCTGTTGTTCGTTGTTTATAATTATTTTTGGAGCTGTCTGTTTTATTTTCTGTTAAAGTTCTTAGTGTAAATATTGTACAGTTCTTGATTCAAATTTCCCTGTTCTTCTGTACATTAACTACCTGTATTTGACAAAACAAAATAAAAACATTAAAAGAACGAAAACGATGGGGGGATGGGTGATCGTTTGGTGCGCCTGTATGGCTTCTTTCAATTAAAATGAAGTTGTCCATATCTTCCTTGGTTATACTGTCCTTCTTTGCCGTTTTGTACTGCCTGTTTTTCCCGCAGGAGATGGTTGTGAGCACCTTGTGCTACCTGAGGGGGCGCTGTGGCGCAGATTGCGTGGGTTTGCCAATTTTTTTTCAGAAAACGAAACTGAAGATAGATCGGCTTTTGGCAGGAGAGTGCAGTTGGTGTTGGGGGTGTGGTGGTGTGTCCCCGGACTGCATACAGGAAAATTGGCTTGTTAAAGTCGCCTTTTTAGTGGTTGATCAGATATTTTTTGTGCCGCTTACTGTTGGAGATAGGGTGGCTGTCCGGCATACTGTGTAAGTACGGTAGCTATGTCGCCGCCGGTCATGTCATTTGCCGTTTACATTCGAAGTTTTTTTTTTTTTTTTTACTAAATACCTCAACACAAAATTACGATAAGTTAGGTGGATTTCAGCTTCTTTTGCATTAGCTATTATTCACACGAACTGATGTTACATTGGTAGCCGAAATATGTCGAAGTTGCTGTGATGAACCCGCAGTTTGTTTCCCGGTGTCAGGGAAATGTACCACCGAACAACTGTAATATATTGTTGTTAATATTTGATCGAGGTACATAACCGAAAATCTTTTTTAATTGTACTCTCCCGCGTTTAATTCGAACCTGATAAGCATTTGTGAGACCTTCTAACAATAGTTATGTAATATTCGTGGCAGCAGTCAGATTCATTTATTTATTTATTTATTGATTGATTGATTGCGCTAGCGATTTTATTATAGACTTCAGTTTGAATTGGAAGACAGTTGCTATGTATTTATAACTGCTCATTCTCGAACTTAAAATGATCAGTCCACAGGAATGGCAACTTCACGGCCTCTGCTGATTCCCTGGCTGGTTGAACAGATAGACAGTGGACGGTACCCTGGATTGCGCTGGGTCAATCATGAGAAAACGGAGTTCTCTGTTCCCTGGAAACACGCTTTAAGACAGGACTCCTCTGGAGATGATGTTATGATTTTTAAGGTGAATTTGCTGCAATTGTTTTATACATAGAAGGCCAGAGAAATAATCTACTTTATTTAAACACTGAGAGCGTGCTCAAACTGAATTCAGGCTTCTGCATGATGGCCTCTAAGCAGAGGTATACTGTTAGGGCTGGTTTAGGGGGATGTTACCCTCCTGATAAATATACACTAATTAGACTAAATAATGTTCTCATTCATTTTCATTAAAACCAGATGTCCCTAGTAAAGGCATAGCCCCCTTTTCATCAATCTCTAGTGACCTGTCCTGCCTCTCACCCTGTCGCTGTATCCACACTCAAGGCTTGGGCGGAGATCACAGACGTGGAAGGGCAGAGGCTGCATGATCCTTCCGTATGGAAAAGGAACTTCCGCAGTGCCCTCCGAGCCAAAGGCTTCCAAATGATCATGGACAACAAGAATGATGAGGTTAACCCCCACAAAGTGTTCAGGTTTCCGGAAGGCCAGCGAGAGGCAAGTGCAGGACGAGTGGGAAAGCGGGTGAGACGGGAAACAAAGAGAGATGCTGAAAGCCGTGCGGCTGGGAACGCAGGTACAGTATACAGTGGGCAGACGTCCGGCTGAGGCCTACAGAGGCAGAAAATATGCTTGAATTTAATGAAAGACTCAGTCATTGTGCACAGGATCAATGACACATTCTCTTTTTCTACATTATTTTTAGGATCCCAGAAACTTTGTGTGTACCCTGCTGTAAGTCCTCAGGTAATACACTGATCTATAGTTGTGCATCACGTCAACCCTGGTTAGTTCATTTTATAGGCTTTGACATGGTTTAGTCCACTTCCTAAGCTTTGGCACAGCCTAGTCCACATCCTAGGCTTTGACATGGTTTAGTCCACTTTATAGGCTTTGACATGGTTTAGTCCACTATGTAATCTTAGACAGGATTATTATTATTAGGATTTGAATTTAGTGATTAATTGTCATTGTTGACACACCACAATGAAATGTGTTCCCTGCATTTAACCCATATGTGACAATGTAACATAGCAGGGGGCAGCTAATTCAGCACCCGGGGAGCAGTGCTTGGGGGCAGTACCTTAGGGTACCTCAGTGGTACTTTGCTGGTCAGGGATTCAAACCTGCATTCTTTCAATTACATGTGCACTTCTCTAACCATTAAGCCACCACTGCCCACAAGACATGGGTTAGTCCACTTCCTAGGCTTTGACATGGCTTATGTTCGTTTTATAGACTTTGACATGGTTTAGTCCACTTCCTAAGCTTTGACATGGCTTATGTCCGTTTTATAGACTTTGACATGGTTTAGTCCACTTCCTAGGCTTTGACATGGCTTATGTCTGTTTTATAGACTTTGACATGGTTTAGTCCACTTCCTAGGCTTTGACATGGCTTATGTCTGTTTTATAGACTTTAACATGGTTTAGTCCACTTCCTAGGCTTTGACATGGCTTTTTCTTCTTTTTTTCACAGTTCCATGCATGTGAAGAACTGAACCTTGCAGAAGAGACAGCTATCCCAAGTAAATTTGCTAATGTATTTCCGTTGCCTTCAAACTTCTCTGACTGCAGTTATTTGAAATTATTATTCTTACTTCTCTTCCCTTTTCTTTCTCCTCCAGACACACTTTTTACATGTTTCCACAGATCTTCAAGATTTTGATCAATATTACAGCTCCAGAACTGGCAACCTTGATGCATGTCTGAAAGAATTGAATATCTCTGGGACCCAACAAGGTATACTTGGAATAAAGTAAGACTCTTATTTAGAATGTTGTTAATTGCTGTCTTTCAATATAATTATCCACAGCAGGTTAGCAATCTTTGGTGGGTTTTGATGAAATTTGGACTGTGAATTACACATACCTTCCAGAATTCAAATATATTTGTATGTACACTACCAGTCAAACATTTTTGCACATATTGAGATTTTCTACATTTGCATGTTAACTTAACATTTACTAAAAATACTCTGTTTTCTTTGCTAACACACACATTTACAGTATGTTCACTATTTGAGTACCTTTATTGGCAAGAAAATGTCATATCTTTGATTCATCAAAGTAACCTCCTCTAGTAGTTATAACAGAAAAGAAAATTTGAGGCATTCATACTACAAGCGACATTACAAACTCCTCTGTTTCATGGGATGAAATAGATAGCTAGTACATTTAAAGTCTAAGGACAGCCTAGAATTTGTCTCTCCTATCACCACACAACCAGATAATAGGATGGCAGACATGCACTGTTACAACTCTTTCTGTGTTGTAAAGGGAACTTGTTTTATTTACTAACAGTGGGTTGTTTTTTTTTGTTTGAAAACAGGCAAATAATTCTTTTTAAATAAGTGAAACATTTTTGTTATACTTTTATATATAAAAATTGACTTGTTACTCCAAGTCCTTCACTGTTTTATTTAAATAACCAACAGAAGTAAAAAAAAAATTAGTTTGCGTGATGAATTTCAAAGACAATACTTATGGTGCTTTTCCACTGCCATCAAGAACTGAGCCATACCTGAGCTGTACCGGGAACTTGCAGTTTTCCATTGTAAAGTACTCACTGGCGTAAATATGCATTATGAGTCCATTCCATTCAGCTGTTCTTTTCCCTTGCCCGGACGCAGGTCACCGGGGCCCCCCCCTGGAGCCAGGCCTGGGGGTGGGGCTCGATGGTGAGCGCCTGGTGGCCAGGCCTAAACCCATGGGGCCTGGTCGGGCACAGCCCGAACAAGGCACGTGGGTCCCCCCTCCAATGGGCTCACCACCCATAGGAGGGGCCATAGGGGTTCGGTGCGTTGTGAACTGGGCAGTGGCCAAAGGCGGGGACCTTGGTGGTCCGATCCTCGGCTGCAGAAGCTAGCTCTTGGGACATGGAATGTCACATCTCTGGGCTGGTGGGATGCCGTCAAGCTGAAGAAGGAGTCCTATCGGGCCTTTTTAGCCTGTGGGACTCCAGAGGCAGCTGACAGGTAGCGACAGGCCAAGCGGGATGCAGCTTCGGCGGTCGCTGAGGCAAAGACTCGGGTTTTGGAGGAGTTTGGTGAGGC